GGGATGCTCTCACTGTTAACGGAGCCGTGCTCAGAATATGGCGTGAGAATCGTGGGACTGTTGTCATTTTCATCCAGGATTAAAACGTTGACAGTCACGTTGCTGCTGAGCGGAGGAACACCAGAGTCTGTGGCCTGAACTTTAAACTGAAACGTTTTTAACTCCTCGTAGTTAAAAGAATGAAGGCTGATTATGTCTCCAGTTTCTGAGTTGATGTTTAATAATGTAGAAAACGGCACTGAGTCACTGCTGCTTTGTAAAAAGGAATAACTCACCTGACTATTTTGATCAATGTCTGCATCAGCTGCTGTCACTTTTTTAATAACTGCTCCTACTGGACTGTTTTCTTTCACGTAGATGTTGATCACACTTTCCGAAAACTGAGGTTTGTTGTCATTTACATCTGACACATGAACAGTTATAACACTCGTGCTGGAGAGAGGTGGGCTGCCCTCATCAGTAGCAGTGATGCTGATGTTGTACTGAGGTGCAGTCTCTCGGTCAAGAGGACCGTCCACAACTAATGAATATGAATTCTTATAATTTGACTCCAATTTAAAAGGAACGTTATTGGAAATTTTACATGTCACCATCCCATTTTTACCTCCATCTTTATCAAATATTGAAACAAGAGCAATGGCTGTTTCAACTGATGCATCCTCTTTAACAGTGTTCAACAGTGATGTGAGTGAAATTTCAGGTGCGTTGTCATTAACATCTAAAACCTCAATCAGTAATTTAGCATGTGACGTGAGAGGGGAAGAGGCTCCATCACTGGCTTGTACTCGAAGTTCAAAAGCATTACTTTCTTCATAGTCAATATTCCTTTTATTCGTTACAGTTCCTGTTTTCTCATCTATAACAAATGAATTAGTTTGTTTCCCCTGACCAACTTCACTAAATGAATATATCACTTTTCCATTTTGTCCTTCATCTAAATCAGTCGCATTTAATGTAATTATTGGTGTGCCTATTTTAACATTTTCGTAGACTCTGGCTTTATACAACCTTTGGCTGAAAACGGGAGGATTGTCATTAACGTCCAGTACATTAACTATTATTGTCATGCTTCCGGATTTAGCAGGTGTTCCCCCATCGATGGCAGTCAGTGTGAGCGTAATCACAGACTGTTTTTCCCTGTCTAAAACTTTCTGAAGCACCATCTCAGGAGTTACACCCTGAACTTTGTGTGCATCAAGAGAGAAATGTTCATTTTGACTCAGCCTGTAGGTGTTTACAGTGTTTTTACCCACGTCAGCATCGTGTGCTTGATGCAGAGGAAATTTTGCTCCCGCCGCTGTGCTCTCAGTAATGTTCATTGATTGCAACGTACTCTCAAATAAAGGAGAATTATCATTTACATCTAAAATCGTAATTTCAATACGGTACAGTTTCAGTGGATTATTAATAACAGCTTCTACACTGAGTGAGCATTTGGCGTCATTACCACAAAGCTCTTCTCGATCTATTCTCCCGTTAACATAGAGGGCTCCAGTTTTTAGATTTACCTCGAAATATTTCCTCTTTGATCCAGCAACGATTTGAAACATGCGGGGCTCCAAATCCTGGACATTGATGTTCAGATCTTTCGCGACATTTCCGACAACAGTCCCCAGATTCACCTCCTCTGAGACGGAGTAAGAGAGCTGCCCAGAAACCGTTTCCGAGTAACAATCCAGCAGCACGAAGACGAGATATATCCATATACAGCTCGATTTGCCCAGTATATTCATTCTTATATTCACCGGGAAGCGGATTAATTCAAACCCGTATATTACATTAAGAAATTCAAACAATTAAACAGAGTAAGACATGAGAGTGATGCTTTTTGACTCATCTCCCATGAATCAAAAAATGGTTGTCGCACCGTTCTCTTTCGCCCTCTGATTCTCTTTGTCTGAACTCCAGAGAAATATACTCTGGGAGGAGTCCGAGACACCAAAGACGAAATTCAAATCTGATGGTCTACAATGTCCCCGTGTGGACATTTTGAAGAAGTGCATTCAATATCAGGAAATTAAGTGTCCTTAATTATCTAGCTAAACAGTTGTGTGTTTTGAGGAACAACAACCATGACGTGCTGCCATTCTGGCATTATTCTGAATACTGTTATCATTCAGGGTTTTTTTTAAATTCATACATTTATAAAAAATTATGAATGAACTCTCATAGACATATAGTAATATATGATACCTTCTGCATTATTCAGACAATTAAAATATTTACAATACAAAACTGAGAAATTAACCGAACCAAGCCATGTAAAAAGAGGGTTTTTTTTCAGAATTGTTTTGAATATAAACATTGCTACAACCTGTTAAGGTTAACAAAGCCAGGATATGAATACTCGAACACATGTTTAGCGAGACATTATTTAAAGTACATTATAACTGCCCACCATGCTGGCATCGTGCATAATCGTCCGTTCAGTACTATGAAGAACAACGTGTAGGGTATGATTCAAAATCTGCACATCTTTTGCTAGAAGTAAATACCACAAACTATGAGTATGCGTAAAAGAAGCCTAACAAAATATATCCAAGAAATTTATTTTATTAGTTAACTTGAACTGGATTTATCCCCATTTTTTTCGTGGCAATTAAGTTCTTTTAATTTAATTCGGGTGAAACCCTATTGATTCATACTCGGTTCTCGACCGTGGTTTTGCACAATAAATAACATTCCAGGATATTTAAGACCAATATGCGCTTACCTTCTCTTTGTTAGGTAAAGTCTGAGTCCTGGTAAAAGTGTCTCCTTCGTTAATACTGATCAGTTCTCCATCTACAGGTGGAAACGGGGCGGGGA